TTAGATGGACCCCCTCCTACCTATCCACCTACCTGGGAAAACGTTATTAATGTAATTTCGTACCTCAACGCCGTAGTGTGGGGGAGCCTCATCATGTTGGTACCACAAATCATTTCTATTTGGAAATAGTTGATTCAGCTGTAGCAACAGATAATCCTCAAGAAAATCTAGATAACGAGAAGCAGTTAAGTTTTCCTAAAAAAAATATGGCCCTAGAATTTGATTGTTTATAATGTTTTTATCTATTCCTAATTTATTGTCTTTATTCTAATTTATTAAAACTCACGATAATTTATCAAAAGTCTTTATTTTATACTAATTTATTTTACACTTAATAATTACAAATAATTTATTTGCGTTCGAACAATTTAACGCGAGATCGCGATCTTCTTGTTGACTGCCCGCTCAATGAAAATCTTCCGTTATTTATATGAAATCAGGTGTTAAAATGGAACATCGCCGAAGGTTCGATGGCATTCTCGACTAGACAGAGCAGCGACTGGTCTCAAAACTGGTATGTTTTTCATCGGCTCGTCCCCAGAAAGTTCGATTGTTGTTCATTTTTAGCGAAGGGACCCAAAGGGTGTCAGGTAGATTTTTGACCTAGAAATTACGAGAATCAATAAAAAAGAATTAGTCATAAAATATTTACAGTTCTATACGCCATAACATTTAAAATCGTACATTATAATGTCGGCCCAAACATTCACCTTCTCGCGATATTGTGTCCTATACTCTTCCATCCAATGTGGATTTTCACTTGCCAAGTATCGATATGTCTGGCGATTTACGTAACCGTTCAGCGTAAAAGACGCTTCATCAGAAAAAAGTACCTTTTGTATGAAACCATGATCTCTGTTACATTTATCCATAACGGTTTCGCAGAATTCGATTATTCTATCAAAGTCATCTTCTAATAGCTCCTGGACCAGATGTACTTTGTATGGATGCCACTTCTCCTTTTTAGCTTTCTTCCAACAGTTGATTGGTGGAAATTATTATCTAGTGTGACCTGCCTAGAACTGGTATGGAGATTTTCTTAAAACGCCAATACAACGTCCAGCTTTCTTAGCATCGGATATTGATTTTCTACCACTTCTGGGAAGATCTTTAACATGGTACGTTTCTCTCATTTTTTTTTTCAATTTTACTTACTGTTGATTGAATAATTGGTTCGCGATTGGGTTATTTAGCATTAAATAAATTACAAACTTCTGCTTGAGTCCTCACTCATCTCCATACCCAATCATGATTAAAATCTCGATTCGTTCTGTTTCTGTTAGTTTCATTTTTGTAAAAGCTGTTATTAACCCGGCGTCACATACGTGGATTTTTCTGTCATTAGTACATATGTGGGGTGTGACAAACCCCAATTTCTAAGAAAATCAGGATTTTTTCTGACAGTTTTTTTACATGTTTTTTAATTTCGTGGTCTGAAGTGATCATCTAAGGACTATTTAAGCAAAAAAGAAATAGTCAGAACACCTTTATTCAAAAGAAATTAAAAATAAACTAATAATAGGCAATTCTCCATAAGCAAAAACCACAACTTAACTGAACAATCTTACCAAAAAATATAAACACCATATGATCAAAAATACAATAGCAAATGAAAATCTAATAGTAAGATAATACAAGGAAAAACTCTGCCCGGTTGTACAGTGAAAGAAAAAAACTTAATCGCTATTTGAATTCATGCAATTTTGACAACTTATGACAGCATGCTCCAGGCACAGTAATGATTCACAGTTTGAACAGAAATATTTAGTTTTCCGATCTCGGCTTCTTGGACATACTGAACATCTTCCCATGAGTTTTGGAATCTTGGCAGGTGGCACTGCAGGGGCATCTTGGCCAAAATGTGCAATGTTTTGACGAATACTCCTTGGTATTCTTGGATTATTTTTTCTTTCAGATATGTGGTCCTGGATCAATTCAAAGCCCAACATTTTGCATAATGCTTCACACCCGGCAAATGAGTAATAATGTTCTCTGATCTTGTTCGAACCCGTTTATTATTTGAAGCAAGTTTGTTCCATTGTGTTCCGTCTTTTCCGAGATACATTTCTTCGTTTCTTGGAGGTCCGTCAGTGCTTTTATTTTCCGTCTCATTCTGAAGTTCTGTTTTTGATGTCTCCATGTCTGAATCTCCGTCAGAAACTACATCTTCTATTGCGATATCCTGCTCCGAGTCGGTGTTGTGGTCGCTTTCAGAGATATGGTCAATATCGTCATCGCTTCCCGATTCGATGGCATCGTCATCAATTTCAGCCCATAGAGCTTCAAGCTTTTTCTGTTCCGCTTCGTATGACATGATATTTTAGCTAAAAAATTGAACAATTGAATATGCAGATTCAAATAAGTCAAAAATAAAAACTTACTTATAATGTCAAAATTGCAAACGCGAGTACATAGGTGGGGTTTGACACACCCCAGAGCGTTTCAGGCGCGTGTAACTTCACTCACTGCCTACAATGTACTTAGGTAACGCCTGAATTCGATGGTGGGGACATTTTTGGGAAGCTATTGGGGTGGACGTGCGCATAAGTTTGCGTTTGATTTATTTTAAGAGCGATATTTGGGAGCTGGGGTTTGTGAAACCCCACATATGTAGTGCCGGGTTAATGTCGGCAAAAAACTCGAATAGTAAAAATTTGACGTCTATTATTTGACAGATTCACATATCATTAATAAATAAAGACGAGTCAATGACAATATTGATTTAAATATTTTTAAATAATAACTTGAAATACTACAATAATTATTTTCAGATTATGCAATAATGTAGCATTGTTTGTTATCGATGTATTTTTTTGTCGGAACCAGCAAAAAACACTATTTTGTTTTATTCCCAGTGGCGTTCCTTAGTGTATTTTAGTACAGTGAATAAATATTGATTGTAATTCCATGTTACTTAACAAAGTTCATAATTTCTTGAACCCTGTAGAAATAAATATTCAAGTAGGTAAAGAAATAATAATAAGACTTACAATCAATTTAATTTAACAATCTGACGACCGGTTTCGCTTTCTATAATTTGCAAAGCATCTTCAGGTCGAGATACAAAGTTAAACTAATGATGCCGGTACTCTATTAATTGATGGATGGTAGGTCATGGTTGCAAAAATCATGTATTGTTGATTGGAGAACTTTAATGAGCTATTGCAGTTGTTTTGACAATAAACGGGAAGTTCTTGAGGAGAACAGATTTGATCCAATGAATTAGAGATAGGTATATTGTTGTTGTTTGTCAGATGAAAGTGATGTTCTTTACTATTGTATTAATTAAATTATTTACACTTATAACAGAGATATATTTTGGAATGTGTGTTATTTATTGAGTATTTATGTAATGAAGGAGACAGTTCTATGACAATGAATAAGAGTAGCTGTACCGATTGTGTGGTTGTGCAATTTTTGACTTGCAATTATCAAGTCTATTGGCAAAATTATTAAAGTATTGTAAAGTCAACTATGTAAAAAGGTATATAAAAGTATATAAAATTATTATAACTTAAGAATGATTAGGGACAAATTAAACACACATTAACAGGATACAGAAACACTAAATGACGGGACAAACATTGAATTTAAAACTAAAACTTGGGGATGGAAGAAACTGTTAGCACTACATCTCACTTGTTGGAAGAAATTTTCTTCCAACAAGTGAGATGTAGTGCTAACAGTTTCTTCCATCCCCAAGTTTTAGTTTTAAATTCAATGTTTGTCCCGTCATTTAGTGTTTCTGTTTCCTGTTAATGTGTGTTTAATTTGTCCCTAATCATTCTTAAGTTATAATAATTTTATATACTTTTATATACCTTTTTACATAGTTGACTTTACAATACTTTAATAATTTTGCCAATAGACTTGATAATTGCAAGTCAAAAATTGCACAACCACACAATCGGTACAGCTACTCTTATTCATTGTCATAGAACTGTCTCCTTCATTACATAAATACTCAATAAATAACACACATTCCAAAATATATCTCTGTTATAAGTGTAAATAATTTAATTAATACAATAGTAAAGAACATCACTTTCATCTGACAAACAACAACAATATACCTATCTCTAATTCATTGGATCAAATCTGTTCTCCTCAAGAACTTCCCGTTTATTGTCAAAACAACTGCAATAGCTCATTAAAGTTCTCCAATCAACAATACATGATTTTTGCAACCATGACCTACCATCCATCAATTAATAGAGTACCGGCATCATTAGTTTAACTTTGTATCTCGACCTGAAGATGCTTTGCAAATTATAGAAAGCGAAACCGGTCGTCAGATTGTTAAATTAAATTGATTGTGAGTAAGTCTTATTATTATTTCTTTACCTATTTGATATGGACTCACACAAGCAACACATTCATGATTTAAATATTCAAGTGATTACATCGTTGCAAAGACGATAAGGAGAACTTTCAAATGAGTTGTATTTAAAAAATCATCGATTATGTCATTACGCCGACACTGATGACGTAATGTCCAACACATATATATCAGCTCGAATGAATGAACTTTGATAAAATGAAAGGCAGATATCGAGCACTGTTTTATTAATTAAATCTTGCCCAAGTACTTTCGCTACCTAGAGCATGGTCAGGGGAATTTCATCCAATTTTGGGCTATCCAACAATTGCAGAATATCATAGACTTGTATACAAACACTATACTAAACAAGGACAAACAGTTTAAAATTATTTAAAAAATAGTGGAAGTTACATTCTGATCGGCAACAGGAGAAAAAGATAATTCTTTCTGATTGATGGCATGTACTGGTTATTTATAAAAGACCGCCGAATCTTGCATAAAATAAACACTGAACTAAAACAGTAAAATAGTTTCACAAGTATGAAATTAGAAATAAAGGTTTTTATTGTTATTTTTAAATTAAAGTGTTAATTTATGTATGGTATTTAATATAAGAAATTTTAATGTATTGATTTAAATAGGACTGACTATTTGTAATATGTTTTTATTTATTTTTTAGTATACATCCGTCAGCACACGATCCTAGTATAATTCAAATACCAATAGCAAACACTGGCTCTCTGCCTGATTTGACAAATGTCGATTTTTCTTCACCAATTCACGCACCACTTGATCAAGACCACGATAGCTCTCCATATGGTTCTGTAAGCATATATTTTTATAATAAATATATTAGTAATTATGTTTTTATTAAAACTAGAAACTTAACTTTACAAAAAGAGGTAAAATTACAATCTTAGAGAATCTTAAAGAAACGAATGTGTACAATTGATTTTTGTGAGATATAAGTTCTTAAACTAAAACTGTTTTAAAATACACTATTCAGAAATGAGAGAACATTTTTTTATTATTTTATAAAATTGTATAAATATTATAGATCAATACACTTTTGTATTTGAACAAACCCAAACAAACCAATCATCGAAGTATGCCAGTCCAAAATACGTATATGAGAAATGATATTTTTGTGTCCAGTGTCTTAAACTCTTAAAAATCACATGATGTCAAGTCAGTACTGTATATAGGATGGCACACCAAATCTAAAGTTCTTGGCCTTCAAATTCCCGAATGTGACGATTCAGGTTATGTTATGGAATTCATTAAACAAATGGTTTTATACCATTCAGCATTGACAGTTTTACCATTCCATCGTGGCCACATATCTCTTTTTCTAAAAAACTCGCGACGATCTGTTTGCGTGCGTGAACTACTTTTGTTGCTTTTGACTCGTCTGTGACGAAAGTCAAAATTTACGAAAATCATATTTATCACGCTTATCTGACGTTTTGAAGATGTGCATTCGCAATGAACTGCCAATAAGAGCGTTATGTCACTTTATTAATATTATTTTCCATCCGCTGCCTTTGATCTGCCCTTCTACAACAAATATTTTCACTAATTCATCAATACGTCTAAGAACCATACTCGATCTCTACCTATACTTGATTTTTTTTATTTTATTATTTACTATACTAACGTAGACTTCTTAATAAAATATTTTATTCACTGCATTAAACACAATTTAGTTGCAAACTTACAATTCCATTTCTATTTTCTATATCTTTCTATTTCTATTTTCCCTATATGAACTAATCACTGCAGTTTTCTAACATTTATGTAAAATTATATTCTGTTCAGTCTGTGATTGCACCAAACCTAAACAAAAGATATTTTTGCAATTTCTACTGGTATTCTGCCTGTATTTTGTTTATAAAAACTACTAATGATGACAGGATCGTTGAAATTTATATTATGTAACAATTTCGCATCATATCGTTAATCTGTTTAAAATCGTTTCATAAATTGTAATTTTAGATCTAATTTATTTAATTCAGTACAATTATCTGTTAATGTACGTGGGTTGTTCAGTAAATTCTTAGAAAAAGTTATGAAAACAAATTAACATATCTGCGCAGATATACACGCGAGCATTGTTCAAGAGAATTTTTTCTTTTTCAAATGAGGACAGTTTTTCTGAATTTATTCGCTGGATCCTTAGGGAGCGTTCTCACAGAACGTGGAGTGGCGTTTTTCATCGACGAAGACAAATAGAAACTACTTCATAGAAAAAGACAAAATATGGACGGAAGCAACACAACGTGGAATACCGCATTTCTTCTTAATATTTGTGGTTTACGATCCCTGTCCGATTTACCCAGTAAGGGCAAAACTGGTCAGTGCGTGCTATCCTGTTGTTTGTCGGTAAATCGACCCGCTTCAAAAGAATCGAAAGGTAATGCAGTCAGTGTCGTTGTAATTTTACTATGGAGTGGTCTAACGAAGTTGTGTTGGAATTTTTATCATTGTATAAATTACCCAACTTAATAAAATTGATGGCATACAACAGATTTAAACCTTAATACTCACCATCGCAATGGTCTGATTACATTTTGGGGTATGTCGAGTGCATTTATCAAAAAGCAAAATACATATTTACTAATTTCACAGTAACGTGGGATGCCAACCGTTGTCTCTTTTCTGATCGTTAATATCGATTTTCTGTTTCTCTTTGCCGACGTAAACCAGCGAAGAACGCCATTCCATGAGCTGTCTGATTACGGCTTTATAATAACGATGGCAATACACTCCAGTTAAGGTACGCGCGCACTTGACCGAACCGGCCGCCGACAACGGGCTTTTTCTGTATTCAAATCATTCCTTTGCGGAAACGTAACACATCAACTCACACCGAACCGCTCTGAAAACTCGAAATGGAAGATTTTCGAACCGGATGTATTGATAAAGTTTATCTTGATGATCGATTAGATCAGGAAATAAAAAAGCGAATTCACTTTCTGTGTTTTCGTTTTTATTACTCGCATATCAATCTATCAATAATAATTTTTGGATCGATCTTCCATGAAATATGTAATTCCAGTGTAAGCCGACGTAATTTTGTAAATTTGCATTTTGTACCGTACAGCATTTATTTTCGATCTGTAGCCGAAATGCATTCCATTGTCGGCCGGTTCGGTCAAGTGTGCGAGTACCTTTATTGTTTTTTTCTTTTTCCAAATAATCGATGTAGATGACTCTACGTGCATCCCAAAACACCATAGTTAATTTTTCGACCAATTTCACATTCTTCGTCTTTTTCGCAGCCGTTTTGGTTGATCATTTGTTTCGGGAGGATACTAATATATCCATGTTTCGTCTGTAGTTACATTTTGATGCAAAAACTGATCAGGTTTATGACGCAAGAACGTCACAACAGCCCGAGAGTCGATCATACGATTGCGTTTATTCTCCATTGACAGTAAACGTGGCACCAATCTTGTTTATTTTTTTACATCAAATTTTTTGTGCAAAATTGGAAAGACTGTATTTGTTCTTGTGAAAATCTAGCTTTTTCATCGCGTACCATATCAGAATTATCCGACGTTGGCGATCACCATTGCGAAGGCTTCTCGATCTTCTGCAATATGGAATAAATGTCCTGCATTTGATATCGTGAGTCCATTCAAGAATGTTTTTTAACTAAGAAACTTGTTTTCTTCCTACACCTCTACTGCCCTCTATTTTGCCTTTAAGGATCAGTTGTAATATTTTTTATCGACTTCTCCTTACTATATGTCCCAGATAAGACATTTTTCGATGTTTAACAGTCTTTAGCAGTTCTCTATCTTTGTTGACGCTCCTTGATACTTCTTCATTATATTTCCCTGCTGTTCAAGGTATCTTCAGCATTCGTCTATGAACTTACATTTCCAATGCTTCAATTTTGTTCATGATCGATACTTTTAGCGTCCACACTTCTGCACTATACAAAAGTACGGACCAAACATAGCACTTAACCATTCTTTGTCTTAGTTCTAAACTGAGATGGTTATTGCAAAGAAATTACTTCATTTTCATAAAAGTAGTTTTAGTCATTGCTATTCTGTCTGGATCTAGTTGGTCTGTTATCACAGTTCCCAAGTATGTCATTTAGTGAACTTTCTCAACTTGGACTCCGTTTAATTGAAGTTTTGCATCGGGATGTGAGTCACGACTAAACACCAAAAATTTGGTTTTGTTTGAGTTTATTTTAATGCCCATTTCCTCTCCTACCTCGTGAATACGATCAAGCAAAATTTGAAACCTTCAATATTAACTGATAGAATTACTGTATCGTCTGCATATCTAATCACATTAAGTAGTTCCCCGTTGATTTTTATTCCATATGGTTGTCTCTCAAGTGCCTTTTTAAATAACTGGTCTGAGTAAACATTGAACAATGTTGGCGACAAAATGTAACCGTATCTGACTCCTCGTTGTATAGAGTTTTCATCGGTGTAGTTATCTCCAATTTTTACGATAACAGTTTGATTCCAGTACAAATTTTTAATGACACGAATATCCTTGTCATCTATTCCGATATTTTTCAGTATTTGCATTAATTTTACATGCTGCACTTTATCGAATGCCTTTTCGAAGTCCACGAAACATGCAAATACATATTTTTTTGGTCACGGCATTTTTGTAATAGGATGTTAAGCGCAAAAAGTGCCTCCCTGGTTCCCATAGCATTTCTAAAACCAAATTGGGTATCTTCTAGCAAGAAAATCTAGCAGGTACTTTTATTTTAGTAAGCGTATTCTGTAAAAATTGTACAGCTTTTTTGTAGTAACCTATGAAAACAAAAGTGAATAATTATAGTGATGGTGAGAATAAACAATTTTAACTGACATGTTGATATATAAACGATCAATAATTTTGTAACAACGATTTATTGACAGTTAATAGTTGTATTATTATCAATTTGTTACATGATTTGGGAAAATCTATTTTTAATTTTTATATAGCAATAAACAAATTCTTGAATTCAAATTGCTTTTAAAAAGTTAAGATAAGACTAGAAACGTCGTTTAGTTTGTAAATGTCTTATTTTGTTTATTTTAACGTATTCAACTCAACTTAAAATCATGAAATTTATCATTTTGAACTTATATCTGCTTAAAAATTCGACATATGACTATATTTTCCTTTTAGAATTGTATGAAAAATTAAATTGTAGTGTTGATTTGCAAAATGTGCTTATCTACACTACAAATGAAAATTTTAGAAAAGTTAAAAGCTTCGTGGAACGATCAATCGGTCGATTGAAGAATCTTCTTCTTCTTCTACTTCGGCTTTTCCACTTATGAGTTCGCCGTCTTCGTCCTCTACAGCACTCTATTCTCCCAGTCCCCTTCTCTGAGGTCTCTATCTATCATAGCATTTCCGACGTATGTTTTCCATCTTGTAGCAGGTCTTCCTCTCCGTCTTCTTCCCGGCGGGTCCCAGTTTAATATTCTTTTCGGCCACCTATGCTCTGGCATTCTTTGTACATGCCCGTACCACTGCAGGGCTCTGTTTTCCAACTTTTTGTAATTGAGCATTCTACTTCCATTCTGTTCCATATTTCCTCCGTTCTTATTCTATCCGCTCTTGTGATTTGTAGACATCTTCTCATAAAGTCCAGTTCAACTGTTCTTATTTTATTTCGTATTGTTGTTGTCATACTTCCACTCCATATAGGGTAATATTCATCACTATGGAGATACTGCTGGTATTTTGGCGGAGATACTGCTGGTATCTCCGCCAAAAATCCATTTTCAGAACAAGCAGTTTTTGTTCCCTTCTCTTAGTGAGCTGTCAGGCTTCACATCCATAAAGTACGCTTTTAAAAATATTGGTTCTCTCTCTCTCTCTTTCTTTCTCGCTCTTTCTCTTGCTCTCTCTCTTTCTCTCTCTTTTCTCT